GTTGTAGCATTATCACTTGGATAAAATCTATTTGGTGGGATTTTAACCCGGGACCCCAGGGATTGAAGTCCCGAGCTCTACCTAGACCAACTCACATCCCCGATGGCTATTACAGTGGCACAAAACTTGCAATCATGACCATGAGAGTCTGCAGTTAGGGAAGAGCCTATTTACCACGTGACTTCGAAGGAGCCATTGAAGACAGCGGTGTTGCCAAATCTAATAATACCAGCCGATTTGAAAATATTGTTTAGCATTTTAATTAGTGTCGTCAACGGGCGATATGGCAACGTCGCACTAGCCTTGTCTAGTGATTGGCTGCCGCCAACTGCAGACTTTGTAGGTGCATATTGCTAATTGTAAATCCTAAGTAATCTCACGATTGAGAAAAACTCTTTGTGAAATAAGATTTGATATTTATTTTGTCATAACCAACGACGAAGGAAATCTGGTTCCAGTTGCAAACAATCAAAAAGCTAAGGCTCTTTCTCAAGATCGAACTGGTGAACTTTTGAACGTGAAGTGAGCACTACTTAGCCCATATCATGCATATTGGTGGTGTCAATTATTACTGGGGTTGCCACGAAGTAGCAACACTCGTGATTTCACCCCTCTTTTCATTATATAGTTGATAGTATATAAATTACGTCCCTCACCATACGTGAATGTGTTTTTCTTTATAATGTGGGCGAATTTAATCTTAAAATGAAAAACTACCTCAATAACTATATAATACTGAACATTAACATATAATACCTCAAGGATGTTTATATGTTTACATTTCTCAGTTTAAGTAAATTCAAGTTAAAGCACATACTTTCTTTAAATGCACAAATAATTTTATAAAGAATTTGGATTTTCCATAATACACTTATGAGCTTATGTCTTAAAAATCTTAACATTACGATTGTTAACAGGTTGCGTGCGAGGAATAATGTGTACAATGCTACATACAATAAAAAAATTATGATTATGCCTCGAAAACACCGCAATTCAACCTTAGACCTGCTGTTATTGCCTCCATACTATGTATTTATTTTGTAGAAATTCATAATTTTGGGTTTGCTTATTGTTAGTCTCTACTTCATTAATATTTATTGTTATTATTGTTCCTGCATGTTAACTAGTCTTTATTGTCACTTGCTGTGATATTTATCATATATTTTTTTCTCAACTTTGTTTCGTTAATTTTAAGTGTAGGTAGTAGATAGCTGTAATGGTCACACGCATGTATTATTACGTCATCTTTTTTTAGCCATCTGTAAAAAATTTCAAAGTACAATGTAAAATGGTGTTTGCCGTAAATAAATAAATAAATAAATAAAGACAAATTAGGCAGTGAGTTTTTCATTGTCATTGGCCTACTAGGAATACTTATATTTAAATATTTCTACTTACTTGTAGGTTATGGCTCCCCAGTTCTCCATTGCGACGTTGCTTAGCGACGGAAGAGGAATGTGGTCGAGCTTTGGTAGAGGATAATCTCTGCCAAAGTACCTAAATCAAGTAATTGTTAGTGTCTTCTATAGCGTTTATATAATTCAAATTACAGTTAGGGTTGTCTACCAAATATCGAAAATGATCTGAAACGGTAAAAGATTAATATAAAAGATGGATCAGAAAGTATATTTAAAAACGACTAACTATTAAAAACTTACTAAAACTCTATTTTGATTCAAGAAATGTATTGATACATTTTCGTTGATAATTCTAACTAAAATTAAATCACACAGAAAAAACTTAGTTTTAAGTAATATGATCGCATATAACGTCTTACGCATCTGCATTTGATTCGTTGTCAAAGCCCAGTTTTTGATAAGCTTTGATGTAACACTTTTTTGATTAAACTTTTAAATAAGAATTACAATGTAAGCAGACATTTTGGAAAAGAAAAAATAGTCAATTGTTTTATGTCAATTTTTTTTTACCTTTGACACTAAAGCATTAAAGCGTTTTAGTAAAGCTTTTGGTCACGAAAATATTTAGATACTCAATGTATGTTGAAAATCATTGGACATTTGTCCAAGTTCATTGTCATCAGTTACTAGAACCTTTTTAGAACAAGAGGACTTATAATATTTTGTTTATTTTTAAATTGCACCCACATTAGTGCATATAAAAAACTCTTAAGCTATCTCTTTAAGGACCTTGCTTCCCAATAGTATTTTTGAATGTAAAATGTAGAACCAGTTTTATGATAAAAATAAATATAGTTAAATTGACCCACTGACATAGTGTGCTAATGTCAATCCCATTTTATGTAGTACTCATACTCTTAACCAAGACAAGCCAAAATGACTACTTAACTGACGAAAACCATTGCATCTGTTATAATACATGAAAAAGTAACAGACAAAAGGACTATTGACAATGAGACATTTTTAACGGATCATTCAACCAAGTTCTATTTGAATGAAAATTTAGCAACAGCTGATTCTCTTGGCTATGATATCCTTCTTAGTATCTAAAAGTAAATTGTTCCACTATTTTGATTTTTTTTAACGAACAAACATAACAATCACCTGGCACACTGCTCCACAACCACACAGCTGATATTGAGAGCCAGCTGAGCCTGGTGCAGTTTATCTCTCGGTGCCCACACTCTGTTGTTGCTAGTGGGCTCCATCAGGGCTACATAGTCGCACCACACGATTACCAGCAGGTACGGCGACATGGGCAGCGTCTCCTCAAACTCTACCCAACCTGGACTGGCCGCCAAGCATATTATTACCAATAGAATAGTCGAGAATGTGTAGAACAGCTGATGTCGTTGTGTGTTGGAAAGGTGAGGGTTATTTCATAACTTTCAGACATAGGTATGGATACTTATTTAATTAGGAAGCAAGTAAAATATTTTAGACAGTGAAATGTAGTTTGGTTGATGAAACGCAAACTTAATGCCTGTTCGATCGTGAATGCAGTCTACACAGTGTGGGAGTTATTTGAAAACTATCAAGACTATACCTTCTCATTTTGTTTGAAATCTCATAATGCAAAGTATATACGGATTGTACGTATGTATTTATTTTAACTGACAATATTACTGTGCCCAAAGTCCATGTAATAAATAACTTTGATTTATGATTAAGCTATATGAACAGTTATGATACCTAATTTTGAAATTGAGTTTTTATAATGTTGACGAATTTGATTAAACAAAGTAAAGAGTTTAAATATAATTAATTTCTGTCATAGTTTTACAAGTACACCCAACATGGATATATGCCTTTGTGATACTCTAGTTCTAATTGGTGAATTGAGTGATAAAGATATAACTATAGTGAAACTTGCCACTAAATGCGTTGAAATTGTAAATAAACACGCCCAGGTGACTCACTGACGTGACTCACCATCTAGGTGAGTCAGTTACTCAGTCAGTAAAGCAACGGACTAAGAAACTAACTACCGGTACCAACGTAGAGAAAGTATCAGTTCAGATCTTTCTTGTACTGTACCTGCTCACCTCCTGATTGATTTTTACCTTTTACAGACGCGTTTTCGGTACATGGTACTAGGAAAAGTGGAGATAAAAGAAGGAGGACCTGTTTTAAAGATCTTTAAAAACCAGATCACTAAATTTATCTTCCAAATCCAAAATTAACAGTTAAAACTGTATTTCTACTCAATCTTTATATTAGCAATATCAATATATTAGCAAGCGTATGAAAATCAGTGACTCACGGCCTTACTCTAGAGGTGCGGCATTGGTGGTGGCGGTGGAGGTGGTGACAGCTGGCATGTTGGAGAGCACAGTGGGGAAGCGTCCTCTCGTGACCTTGACCAGGAACTGGGCCTTGTAGTGGGGCTCGTCCCAACAAGGAAACATCGTCCTGGCGTAGTTAGGTTGTAGGTGAGTCATCAGTATCTGTCTGTGACAAACATGGAGTTATGAGAGGATAGTTGGGTTTGGTAAGACTAATAAGATATAATATGCATGGTAACTAACATGCATTGGTGAGTGTTAGCGTCACGGACTTCGGGGCCAAGGCAGCGATGTAGTGGGTTCGGATCCTGGTCACTGCCACAAAAATTTATCAGTACAGTTCACCTTTGTACTGTACCGGCCCTGTAGTCTATGTAGATCTTTAGTCTATGTGGACGGGCAAATGCAAGGTTAAAAAGAGGCCACCAACCTCTTAAAAAAAAACGAAAAAAACACTAACACTAGAAACAGCTCATCTAGCTAGATGTTGTTACGTCATAGACAACGTAGAATTCACGTTTCGGCATTGTTGCAGACAGTCATTATCAGAGAAGTTTACCGTAATTTCAGCTACTACTTAGTAATATCATGCACAGATGAGTAAGATACCGAGGAAACATTCAATGGGACACTTAGGTGGTGTCCAGCACCAGTGCTGGTGTCTAGGACAAAATACACATTTCCGGCACAATATACTATAGCTGAAAGCGCACGATCGTCCCAAGCGTGTTTCCTCTACCTCTATGTATATCCACATCCAGGTACTTAGGTATAGGATTTTGTCACTGACATGGTTGTACTTAGAAGAGCTAGTTATAGTGTTAGTAACATTAAAAAGTAACTTTGCAGCTATTTACCAAAACATTTATTAATATGCATTGTCAAACAAGAATAAATCGTAACTTACTCATAAGCTAAAAAAAATAAAACGTAACATATTTATAGTCCCAAATATATCTTAGTGAAATCATAATAGTCCTACGCATAGTGTGCTACCATTTTCGGCATCCACTATGAAAAATTAAATTTTTTTAAATACTAAGGCTATTGTTTTGAAAGACCTTCGTCATAACTTGTTTCGAAGATCGTTATTATTCTTAACAAGCACAAAGTTTATAGCAAATAAATTATTTGCAATAATTAATTACAACCATATTGTTATCATATTTAACATTAGTGTGTTATTCTACTATCCTATTAAGACTATTGACTTTTAAGTTTTAATTACTAAATATTACATTCATGATTAAATTAATTTATGTTAATCTCATTCAAAAAATCATTATTTACTAATGCATTTTCTTAACTGTTATCTTCTTGGTTACAAATTAAGTCAGCAAAACACTGCAGCTAATTCATGTAAATCTTTGAGATTTGCATAGTTGAACAATGTCTGGAGGATTGTTTGGTAGATAAGGGTGTAACCCAAGACAAAGTACGACATTAAGTGGTGCAGACATTTTGGCAAAACTCCCACCCCAGAGCATCGCTGACAACCTTGCCAAATAACATCTCGTCAGCCTTCACGTAGTTAGATTTTTGATTCGTTAAACAGCATAACCTTAGGAAGTGTAAGACCTTTATTATGAATTTTAGGCTATTGATACGGTAATTAGTGGAATAAATAAAATAAAATAAATAATATTTTGTATATTGCTTTGCGTATCTTCATCCAGTGTTAAGGATTTAGAAACAACATTTAAAGTCGATTATTTGTTAAAATTAATGTAATAAGAATACATTTATAATTCACCAACATTATTTATTAGTTTGTAAATAAATAAATATACACTCTCCATAAGTTACTAGGGTGCATTTTAAACAGTCTTTTTAATGTTATTGTTTTTTGGTTCCGAAAATAGAGTATTTATATAAATGTAAGATTGGTCACTAAGAAAAAATCTATTTTGTATCTACTGTAATAAATACCTTAAATCTTATTTTCCTTTTTCCTATTGATCTTTTTTGTTTTGTGAATGGTTATATTTTGGATGTTGTATCATGACTTGACTGCTACTCTCTTAGGTTGGTTGTTGAGTATTGTTAGATGAGGACGGTATCAGATTCCAGATTCTGAAACGTTGTGTATTGATTTTCACCATTGTGAGGGAAAAAGTCCGCATTAAAAAACTTCGAACAATACTGTAATAAATTTCAGTAGATTATTTTATGCAAGGTTAAAAAATTATTTTTTTTTTAGTTTTTTTAATCAACTCAATTATTTTGAAATATAGTGAAACAACATAAAATTGCTTGTTAGTGTATATACTCGTAAATACTCATTCATTATTACGCACAATTGTAAATATCCCTACGTGTAATTTATAAGTACCTTCACAACCTACAAGTATCTTTTACACAGAGAATACTCGTAATAATAATTAAATTTTAACTAACTGTTCTTGATCAAGGACAAACGACTGAGTTTTCGGTTGTTAGGTTGGCATCTCTGAGCCAAAGTTTGCCAAACTCGTGTCTGACACAAATTAAACCAGTCATTTGGCAAGACTCTCATCCAACGGGATTAAAAGATCAGTCGAGGTGGATTGTAAAGCTTTTAGAAACTTTTAGAGTCAATAAATCTGAGACAGAGTTTTACAATCAATTGCATTTGTCCTACTTGATACTGCGACATACCTAGATCGCCAAATATTCCATTAAACACTTAAAGCGAGCTATCCTATTACTGGATAAGTACATGTATACATACAATAGTTAGATTATGCATAACAGTTATAGATTTGTAGTACCTAATATAGTTTTTTTTTATATCTGTGTGTATTTTTAGTTCTATTGGTTAAACGGATATGTCTAATCACATTAGAATTTTTCTAAGAAAACGTATTCAATTTATGACCTATTTAAAATGATTTTGTCGTGAATACACAAATATATAGTACTAAAATAGTTTGATAGAACACGAATAATATTTACGGGTTATTGACAGATTGACAGATTGACAGATACGGGTTATTCCTAACAATATTGTACTCTCAAAATAACAATTCCTACAGAATGTTTTACTCGTTTTGCTGCTATACAATATAGCCTTAATGATAACTAGTTTAATATTAGTATGTCTACACCCAGCTTAGCAAAACGTTGTAAGTAGTTACGCACATAACAGAACGTTGTAATATTCACTATCTTAGTAACATTTAGGTAGGAATTCACTACGTACCCTCACACATGTTAGTCAAACATCAGTACATACCAATTATTTTCCTTACTCTACTGTTATATATATATATATTTAAATTAATAGAATACAAGTACCGGTATGTATTATTTAAATTTCATTAAATATAAACTACTATTTAAATTTCATTAAATATGAAATATATAACTAGTTATATATTTCATTAAATATATAACTACTGGTATATCTGAGCAAACAAAGAAATTTCAAGCAAATAAATTCAAGTTAATCTCACTCCTACCACAGGTTAGCGTATTCAATCTCCTAATAACACTTAATTACGTTACAAAATACACACATGTTAGTATGAACACGATGCTAAGTCTACTCACTTCCTAACTCCACCTTCTTTATAGAAGTCCTTGTAAAGACCGAACCCATCATGGCCAATGATCCCCATGAACTCTATAGTCAACTTGTACTCATGGTCCACCCTGAGAGTTTTGTTGAGCGACAGATGACACTGCTGCAGAAACTCATCTTCTTCCACACCCAGGACCGCCACTTCTTCGCCTTCAGTAGTGTCTGACAGTTTAGTCATGTTGAACAGAAGGTTGCTGCAGTGCAGCACTATGACGGAAGTCTCAGCAACAGCAACCCCACTGATGATCACAACGCCGTGGAACACTCCCCTGATGATGTCCGGGTTCAGGGAGAGTTCGTAGCTCTCAGGGGTCAAAGAGTGCGGTAAGAGGGGAGAACGTTTCCCAACAGGTGTGGAAAGGCAGAGCCATCCAGTGGCGAAAAGAAGAACCACCGCTTCCAACCACCACTTTTGCACCCTCATTGTTGGTGGGTATTTGTTTGTTTTACATGTTTAAACACAAGCTAAAATTTGCATTTTAGTTTTTAGAGCGACGTATATTTGGCATGATGATGACGATTCCTCACTCCTGGAAACCCCTAAAATTTAATTTTTCTTACTGTAAACAAAACCCAAAATTACATATTAAGAGTTGGGACAAATTTTGGCAGGTGCTAAGGTTATTGTGTTTATATATATATGTATATTTATATATATATTTTCATATTAGAATCAAGAATCAATGGTCTGGAACGAAAAAATCATTACTTTCTCATAAATAGGGGTTTGACCTCTAAAAATTAGATTTAGTAAACACGGAAGTAGTGAGGAATAGTATGCAGCTCAAAAACCTGGACCATTTATAAATTCAAAATTTACCGAAAGCAGCATCTCATGATGGATATTCTCGACGAATGACACTATATAACTATCTAGCTACCGGAGTTATAAATAACTCTGGCTGGACGTCAAAACTAGACAGTCTGCTTCTTTGTTGTCTGCGGTCTGTTTACAAAATACATACGAGACTGTTTTTACTTTATTTTGGTAGCCATCAGCAACGCCTAAAACGTTTTGAAAATATTAAACATAATCTTTTGTATCCAGAATCAACGTTACTTTACGGATGTTAAATTATTCTTAGACTTCTCGTCGACTACAGTTTTAATTCCTTTTCTACTTTTACTAGAATTAGAGTTATGATTAGCGTGGTAATAATTTTTCTTGTCAATCCTTACCTGTAAAAATTAAAATTTTGTTTGACGGGGTGTGGTGGTATGAATTACAGTAAATAATTAGTTTTGCCCATAGTTGAAATATATTTTAACTCAGGAAGATCTTATAGTATTATCTTATATTAGTTACATTGTTTGTTTATCATTTAAGTTAATTCAAGTACAAACGTAACTCGTATTTTAGTTGGGAATCAACATTACAGCAACGACATAAATCGCAGCTTAAGTGTTTCGGTAAACTTTTACCAATAGTAAATGTCCCAAGTTCAATAATGGAACCATTATACGGCAAAGTTATGGAACAATAGCCCTTTAACTGCTGCACTCCAAGAAAGGTATAATGGAATGAAAAAAATTGGTAGAATTAAAGTTCCTGTTTTTAAAGTTTATTAATATAGACACTCGGTTTTATAGTTGTTATTTGTGTATAATTTCCAAAGACATTCGACTCATTTTACTGATTATCATAGTAAAATTAAATGGTAATTTAAGTATGTGCACAACGCTCTATGTCAGTTTTATTATTTATTTAAAATCATATTTCATTCATATATACAAGTTTCAAATTCTTTTCAAATTCAAACAATTCTTTTCAAACAGTTTGTCATGTGTTTTAAGTTCCTCTTGTTTGGCTTTTGAATGTTTTACACAAGTATATTTATTTAGATTAGACTGATTAGAGTATGAAACTAACAAAGTAAAAACTAAAACAAATTCACTTAACAACGTGTTTTAATTTGGTTGTATATTTGTTTTACTAATAAATTTGTCTCTCTCTACTAGAAGTCCTCTAAACAATACACGTATCCTTCTCAATTTCTTCTCATTATTTGGAGAAGGTACGGAGAATTAGTTTGAATTTAATCCTGAAAGTACACAATACCTGGAAGGTCGGGAGTATCCTGACCCGATTCAACCGACCCTCATAGCCTAATTGCAGGACTGCAACTACTATTGGGTGGATGGGAAAGTCAAACAATTTCTCTTCCAATTTACCTTTGAATATCGATCGCTTCGTTAGTGCTTCTGCGAGTTATTCGTTTGATCCACTTATAAGTCTTAATTCAGTCCCTCGTCAGAATATTTGCTCTTGAACGGTTAAGTAAGGACCAATATCTAACTATTTTCGTATGAGATATAAATAGCAGGTCGAATTTAAATTTCCTACTGAGTACAGTTAGAGCTTGTATTACACTATAGAAAATCTAAACGCTGCTAGACATTATTACTTTTTGTCAACTGAGCTCACTATCGTATATTGTTCAAATCTAAGGCTTATTTTACAATCCAATTTATTTTATAGTGGAGTCCTAGGTTTCTACGTCGAATTGTTATCGTTAGTTCTTTTGTCTCATAGTTTTTCATTAATGCCCTTGTAGATATTTATATGCGTTCAATGTTTGTACAAATTATACCAAAACAACAATAACTCAAGTAAAAGATGGAAGACTAAAAGTTTAGCCAAAATAAGACAAAAGGACTGACGATAACGTTCCAACGTAGAAACCTAGGCGTTTAACTCTGTTCAATAATATCCACAGGCTATATCTTCAAAAATCGTAAATTTTAGGATTGAACTGTATAACTTCAAATATGGTGATTTTTTACCATGGGGAAACCAAAATTTATAATGTTACCCTAATATCGTTAGCAAAATATAACCTTTTCATATATTATGTAAATCAAATATATTTTCAGAGGAAAAACGACTTATAAAAACTTTATCTGTGTGATTACGTGAAAGCACATTTAATTATATAGGTGAATTATATTTCCATGCAATAAAGTGTAGCCTGGCTAATTTGATACTATAGGTACCTAACATAGGGTGTTAGAATATACGGGATTTCTTTCATGGCTTATGATTTTTGTCAGTATACCAAACTATTATAAAAGTAGTCAATGCTAGTTATAGACTACTTCCACTCCAAGTACGTTTGAAATAAAATAAAATATATAACAATTTTTACGAAAATGTTACAACTATGGTAGCACAGAATATAGAAAATAATACATCGTGTATTTTGTTTGTGTATACTAAAAAAGTAAGCAAACGGTTCAAAAACCTTATAGTAATTGAATAAGAATTATAAAAGTCTAAATTTTGCTACTATGTCAGAAAATATATTTGCATTTTCAAAAGCTACAATATTTAAACGTCATTCATACAACTAGCGCGCGAGCTGAAAAACTCAATTAAAACGAATGAATCAAATGAAGGATATTGGGAATCACATTTGATCCTACAGGATTATTTTCCAAGTCGTAAAAGCCGAATGGATGTCCATAAATATAAATAAAAACTCGAACATTTAATCCTGCAAAGCCCTGTCACATGCGGTTTATGTCATTGGACAGTTTCGTTCCCGATTAAATGAAAACCTACGAGATTTGTAAAGGGATCTTTCTGTATCTTGTCTGTCTGATTCACTTTATGTTTATAGTCACACAAAATAAATGTCACAAAGCTTTGGTAAAGTGTTTTTCACAAACATTATTTTTAACACTGTATTTGTTTTGTTTTGTGAACCTGTCATCGACCTTTGTGTATATTTAAAATTTACTTTTTTATTGTTCTATTAGGCTCTTACTTTTATTTGCCATTCTCTTATATCACATCTGATATTAGTGTTAACATTTTTTTATGGACAAACGAACCAACTAGGTTAAAATATCTTGTTCGTGTAACGATAGTAACTGAGGAGTAAAACATATTAAGAATCATTTCTGTGGTGCAAATAAATAATGAACGCTGTTGAATTGTTAGAACGTACAACTATTTCACACTAACTTTAGTTAACGACTTCGCTCTCTCCAAAAATAATAAAGTCATTTGCATTAAACATGTATTTTCACCTTAATATTTTAAATATTGACAAAAAGAGTATAATTTGCATACATGATAATTATTTAATTTATACAAGTGCAAATGTAATAATAATTAGTAATTGGTTTACAGTAATAGAATTCTCAAAGGACAACATTTATATTTAAATAATGGCGCATAAATTACGGTCAGAATGGAGCCAAAACTTATAGACAAGTACACGATTTAAATTTAAAATACAAAATGACTTTGATAAATAAGGATACAAAATTGGGTCACCATTATGTAACTTTCACAATCAAAATCAAACATACTTTTTTAAATCCTAATAAGTATTTTTTAATAACTGTATTAACATTCCTGTACACACACATTCCTGTAAAACTCTTTAAACAATTGTTTGGCAATTTCAATATTCAATCTATATTCAAATGAAAATACCTCTCAAATGTTTCCCATTTAGTTTTATGCTTGACCTCAATTGAAACAAGCCACATATAATACCAAACGTGTTGTATATTATGACGGTTTATACTCTACATTGACTGCATCATATGGTTCATTAACTCCGTAATTAACTTATGTATAGGCTACTTTGCATATGATTCAACTTTATTTTTAAATTAAAATGTACAAACTAAATGATTCAAAAATATTGTAACTTAATTAGATTTATTATTGTATGTCAGTACAAGGAAATTTTTAAGTACCGTTTAACATGTTTAAATATATCCCTAAGAAGCCTCGTATTAGTGTATAACCTAAAATCAAAATGGTTAACTGCTTTCCTGTATACAATTAACAAGAAATTTCAGTAGGGTGAGTACACCAGTGAATGACTGTGTCACATACAAAATAACATCATACTAATTACAAATAAAATACTCTTCTCATTTTATGATCAACATCCTCACCAACAGTTATTTAAAGAAACCATTTACTGAATAGCCTACTGGCACAATCAGTGGATTACCGTTTCGTATAAAATTATCATTCAATTCTCCACTCATTTCATGAACAATATCCCTAGCCAACAGTTATCTAAAACAATCGGCCATTTAATGAATCACACCTTTGGTTACAACAATGATACAACCAGTGAATGACCGTTTCGGCTATTAACTATATTTGGATGAATTTTCTTTCATAGTTTTTGAAACGGTGTCTTTGATAGATTAAGTGTCCTATGAATAAAAAAAAAATCTCATCGAAAATCCCGTCGAAACACTATAACAAGAATTTGACCATGGGTTAAAACTAAAAGGTTGAGGTAATTTACTAGATGAACCGTAGTCATTCACTAGAATAAAATGGTTATTTTCATTCACAGGGTGTCTAGCTTTGTCGTAAGAATCTTAAACGGGTTGTTTTGCAAAAAGACGAGGTTTACTACAATATTTTAAAATGCTATACAAAATTGCCGCTATTAACTGGTATATGATCTTCAATGGTGGTGGTTTTACATGCAATATATTTGTTTCAACACTATGTCAGACCATAATTCATTAGGTGTATTCATTGAGAAGTGCAGGGGGATACGGAAAATATGTTTAAGCATTCGCTACACTATAGCTTAATAGCCTATTCCCCCCCCCATGTCGAATTCAAGTAGAAATTTAAGCTAAATGGTCATTCAATAGTGCACCCACTTACACATCCCTCTAGGCCTATTTACTTCAAGAAAACCCCGATCAACCAAACCCAAACTCTAGCCTGCGATTTTTTCCCTTTAAACACCTACCAACCGAACAACTCTGTCACCAATCACCAAACACCAATTCACAAAACTTCACTATTCACAACACGGCAGTACGACTGATGAATAACACACACCACGCACCTACAGCTTCCACTGCCGCAGCATTGGCAAGGGACACTCAGGTATTTCGGTCTTTGGCGACTGTCCACTTCGCTCTACCTTTGTAATGAGTTTAGAAATAGATGTTATGCTTGTTGAGATAGACGTTGCTTTTGAAGTGATGTATTATTGCCTTTCAACTTCTAATCTTCGCGTTGGAAATAGCTGGTGGGATGCTACTTCCCGGTTGATTTAAGAATCAAGGGCGTTTTTTATGATAATATGTGCTTATTACATCGGAATAAAAATCCGTGTTTATTCAGTACCTTACTTATTTTATAATTTTGCATTTTCATTTTTTTGTAACAGTTACTCAGGTAGAACTAATTGCAATACTAAAAGGATGGCTAAAAAAAAACTATGGTAAAATATAAATTAAAGATTGTAAAATTGTAATTATCTTTACATGTAGACGATCATCGATAAATAGTAGCTTTCTTTTAAATATTCAACAGTTTGGGACCAATTTTAGAGGACTGTTAGGTTTTAAGAGAGGTTTACGTTTTTGTTATTTTTTTACTTATTTGTTTACGTGTCCTTGGCAGTAAGGACACGTTGATGTTGGACTTTACACCAAAGGACTTCTGAATACGTTTACACAATTTATTGCTCTTAGACTTAAAATTATGAGTTGTATGGAACTTGTTTTAAGTTAAGTAACAATTATCATGGTAATAAAGATATGAGATAGCTTTGTTTGTTAGTTAATGATGCAATATGACGAAAAATATAGTTCACCACACGGACAAAGTGACTTTGGTTAACCCTCGCTCCTTTTCCGTCCTCGGCTTCTCATCAACCGTAAAACTTGACCTCGGGTCAAAAATAGTCACACTAGGCCCTATTGAAGTAATATACTATTTCAAATAAATCATTTAAATCAAATCATTAGTATAAAGGCTATGTATTAGTTAAATGTTTAATTTAAACCAACATGAAGTAAAAGAAAAACATTTACAGATGTATATATTTTATATAGGATATTTTGAGTAGACTTATCCACCTGTTATGAAATCTAAACCAGCTTTATTATTGGTTCATATCGGTCAACGCTTGAGTATGTAAATTACGTGCAAATATTACGAAAAAACCCCAGAACGTCTTTTAGAGTGTGCAATTATGCTACCATCTAGCAACAAAATACCCCCGCCGCAGCTAACCTGCTGTCTAAGCGAATTTCCATTTGGCTGAATTGCTTTTCAATTGATTTATTTAAATAAAATTAGGTTTAACTAGTACCTAGGTTTGCTGCTACAAGGAAACTAATAAAGTGTGTGTTTTAAGTAAAATAATTATTGCTTGGTATAAAATGAATATATTTGCCAAGTTTGATCAAAAGATATCAATAAACAAGCAAACTACAACATTTTACAATATTCTCCATAAGAATAACATGGGGATTTTAAATTTACAATTTTTTTAGTTTTCTCCGTAACCAATAACCGTATAAAAACACTTTGATATACTGAATTGTTTGTTTTTTTAAGCTCTTTAAGAAGGTTTAGAGAAAAATTGGTAAATTTTGTGTTTTGAGGGTCAAAAGTGAGAAAAACCAATTTTTACCCCATAAAACCCCCCATAAAACCCTGTTCCCATGGTCCGATCATGCTGGATCGCGAACTCATTCAAGTTTATCCCGCCTTACACCTTCAAACTAAATTTCATCAAAATCGGATAAAAATTACTCAAGTTATCGTGTTCACGGACACACATATATATATAAATCTATATATATACATATATAAAAATTTGAACGAATGGTGTTTTTGGCCTCTGGGGACATCGAAATGAAAAAGTGAATCGGTCCCGGACCTAAGTCTTACCATGAGACCTACGGTAATAGCTACTTCCCTATAGGGAAATTCGCTAAAAGGAGGGCAAGGCAACATTATTATTACGGCCATGATATTAGTTTGTATTCTACAAAGTAATGAATAGTAAATTAATACATTCAAATGTTACTGCACATGAAAATATACTATGTGTTAAGTAGGTTAAACATTATCATTCTGTAGGGTGATTAATTTAATCCTAAAATATACAGTGCTAAAATACAGTGAACATGTGTAACTGTCATGTAAAGGTGATTTGATTTTTTTTACAATGAATGACATGAAATTAACATTTTAATTAAAAATAAAAATACTCACATACTATAGATAATCTGGATGTCTTCATCGCGGTGCATTGTACACTGTGTAACCAATATTATAATCCAAGAATGGAAAAATAACCTTAACACAATATTTGTAAACCACAAAACGTATTCGCGTGGTATTAATGTTTTCATATCGAACTACAGTGTAAAAAAGAAACAAAAGAACGAGAAATATATTGTAGGAAAAACAAAGTTACACCAGATTGTCGCCTCGTGTTTCGTCTGCAAACAAGTCCTGCTGTCCTGATCCGATTATATGATTGGTCCGTGTTTTCTCTCTGACAAATATTTTAGCCAATCTGGTGTAGCCTACTAGTGTGTGTTTAAAAACCTTAATATTATTTGCAAATATGAGCAGTAAGAAGTTTTACCTTACCTAAACACATGCATGTTTCATTAATGTTCAAAGTATATGTTGGTTTAACTTTAAAGCTGATTAGAATAACGTAACAAGGTTTACAAAAAAATACCTTATTAAAGGATGGATTTCACTTTACACATGTGTTAACACAAGCTTACACATTAATAGACAAACATATTTTGACAGGATATAAATTACGGTAGAATAGTTTGCAATAAACCCCTAAATTGGTCAAAAACAAAACTTACTTCAAACAAAAAGTCTTACTTTAGTAAAAAACACAGATTTTTATAATTATCTGGTTTGTTATTTCGAATGGGTATCCTCCGGATTATCAAGATACAATTAAAGTGGTTTAAATATATGTTGACAATCCAAGTGGTTGTGAAACAACTAGTTTAGGCTCACAATGGAGCTTTCTTCAGGTTTGGAACATTGTCTCAAGGACATTGTCACGTCTACCAAAGGTCGTCAAAGTAAATAAATATTTAAAAACCATAAAAAAACATTTAGCCTAAAACACAGCAACACCAACACGCATGACGCGGCCGGCGGAAGTTTAGACTAGAAGTAAAGATGGCCCATCATGTGGCACCTCATTATAAGACCCTTATAAAAGAATATTAACGAAATTTAAAGGTCTCTATATCAAACCAATTTGGTGATAATTTCATAATGAAACAAAAATAACATGGTGTATCTCATTGAAACGTTAGAAGTTCGAGTGCATAATTTTCTTTACCCTGCATTGATTACTAACCGTACAAATCACAGAAATAACTTGATCAAAGTTTGCAAAAGTGTTTCCATGAACTAACTGGGACTGTTAGCCTAACTGATTGTTGCCAGATTATTATTATAAATGACTTGTCTGATTGCATGTAACTGCATGTTTAAAAGACCAAATAAAATTCTCATTCTCATTCTCAATCATGAAATGTCAATGATAATGACACCAAAAATTAGTTATATCGGAGCAACTGATGAACCAATGGAGTTATTATAGTCTTCGGCTGCTCTCCAGAAGTAGTTCGGTAAATAGTAGGGAATCAACTTTTATGACGTGTTTTAGTCAAGGTAGGTAAAGATGGAAATTATAAGACTAAACGACACATTATGGGATAAACGTTTTCTATTTTGAGGCATTTAAGTTTATTTACTAATTGATTAAATCCAGCTTAAGGAGAATCGGTCAAAATCAATTACTAAAGGTTTTTTAGTATTTAATAATATATATATGAATATTTCCATCACATTATCTTATTTTCGTGACGTTCCAATCCAGTGAGTTGAAACCCTCCTGGACTGAAGCTGTTTTAGGACTTCGTCCTCTTCAGCCGAGAATCATCACATCTTTCCGTGTGCTCAATCCTGTATTTTTGTTTTTTCTGAAAGGTTTGTGTACAGGTCTTAATATGTTCTTGGTAATTTGAAACTAAGGAAGTGATGGTGAGTCCGTAGCTTATATTAAGCAATCCACTTAACAAAGTAAAAATTAAAGTAAACTACGATACATTTATAAGTGGAACATATTTTCTATTTTGTTACTCGAAAACCACTAAATTCTTTGATTTACGTGAAAGTAAAATAAACGTTAGGTTACCATGGAGCTGACGAGTACAAAAGTTTTACAAGTTTCTAATTATTATCATGGTACATGACAAATTTTATGTTTTATTTATCAGCAAGTACATAGCATGAACACAAAGTGGTTAAGTAGCTACAATTTAGAAACTGCTTGTTGTCGGCCAAGAGGAAACCTCCTGTATAACTAAACTTAGGTTAGTTTGGATTTTATTATTTCATTCAATAGTCTATACAGTATACATAGCTTTCTAATGGTAGACAACATGTTTGTTGACTATTACAGGCGATCTCCAACGATTACCCAAACCAGTATCCACACTAATCTTTTCTCATTAGTTTTAACATACAAAATTACAACCTTTTACACAATAAGGTGAAAAAAACTCAACATCGATATTACGGTCCATAGTCAATGATACAAGCTATCGTCGCCTTTCCACAACCATCCTTCACTTGTAATTGGTCTACAGTAAACAGGCTTTATTATGTATAGTATATATTTTAAAAATACTTAACATTTATTAAAAGTAATTCTTACTCAAGAAAATTATTCTACTTTAAATTTTTATATGTATTTTATGAGGCTTATGTATTTACCGTTATTCAAAGGGGGTATAGCGGGTAGGTAGCTGGTCTAATGTTTTATTCGGTCCCTGAGGTCCCGGGTTTAAATTCTGCCAAACTACCAATGGACTTTAAGTGATAATGCCACTACCCCTAGATCAAGCCTGAAGTAATGTGGAAAACAATGACTGGTTCGTGCCTAGCGTCCAAGGACAATAAAGGGGGTACCTATAGCTTTAAAATGTTTCTTGACTAATTATATATTCTACTTACAGGTTCAAGA